GCCAAGGGTATTCTCTTGTCGTAAGAAGTCACAACTGAATGGTAAACAAATAAAAATCCAGACTATTGGCCTGCACACAGCTGTTACACTATGATTTTTGAGCGGAAAAGCAATCAAAGGCATTCCTTCCATCCTTCCATGCTTCCAAATGTTTTCAAATATTTATTTTCTTGGATGTTTATTTACACTTGGCCAACAGAAAGTGCTCTTGCTTGCCTTGTGATTAAATGAAGAAAAAGCCAAGCCCGGGCAGGGCAGGGCAGGAGTAGGAGTAGCAGCAGAACAGAACAGAACAGAACAGAGGATGACGAATCAGCAGAACAAACAACATGGAAATCTACATAGCTTTGGGTGTGGAATCATTTGGTACCCTTTGCTGATTGGTTGTGCCCATGGCAGATGCATAGCGTCATACCCTCCGGCAGGGTATACAAAATGAAGCAGGGTCTGTTCTATTTACAGCCAGATAGTGTTGAAGTACTTCCCGATTTCAATATGAAAATGTAATCAATCGATGGACGGGACAGGCAGGCCAACAACTGCCATTACTCATATTATTTATTTTGATTAGTTGGAAGCGTTGGGGCAGAGTGCCTGCTCCACATATAACGAAATACACATATTGTGCCTACTATGTGCTGTGAGTGCTGCTCTGTCGAGTGGTTGCCACATACGAGTATTCCCCTCGCATCGGAATATAAATAAATAATATTTAATTGGTAAATGGGTCGCCGGGATGGGTTGCTTCTGATTGTTTGCTGATTCTTCAGTTGTCAGATGTGACAATATATTTTAGCCCAGAAATAGCTATGCTTGGCAGCGGGCCACACACGCCATGGCCAGTCCCAGTCCCACAGCTCCAAATTTGTTCCATTTCGCCTTTTATCAATGCCTGATAGTTAGTTCTTAATTGGTTTGCCCTTTAATTCGCCAATGCAAACTCCATTTCTAGCCAGTAACAGTCCCAGTCCCATTTTCATTTCCATTTTTATTCTCATTTCTTTTCCATGGAATCCAAGCCTTGCCCTGCATAATATTCCATTCCATTCCATTCCCTTTTTTGGCCTGCCTCTTATTTCATTTCCGCACATTCCCTTGCCATGTTCCATTTCTCTGCTTCCCATTTAACTGCTTTTTATTTCCACTCTTCCCCACCCCATGCGATGATTCATAATTTCTTCGCCCCACTTAAGCACTGACAATTCAGCAATAAAACTAAAACGAATTAATTTCAATAAATCCATCAATAGCGTAGAAACCCCCCCGGCCAGCAACTGTAGCTGTAGGCTGTAGGCTGTTTCTGCCTCCGGAATGGTCATCCATCGAGCCGCGGCACAGCCAAACAGAATCGTTAAAAACTGAACGGACATGGAGTGCGCATCGACATTATAGTCCAAAACAAAACAAAAATAACTAAAGAGTTGATATGCCGCCATATAAAGCATGGACGGGTTGGTTGGGTCGTTGCCTCTCTCTCTGGCCACGTGCTCGCCCACATGGCCACAGAGGAGACATAGAGAGACATAGAGAGAGAGGGAGTGGGAGAGGGAGTGAGAGCTAAGAGCTCCATTTGCCAATATCGTTTGCGGCGCCATTAATTCAATTTTTTTTTTGCTGCTTCCGGGCTAGTCAGACCGCAGACCCACCCCATTTCGAGTTGCGCCCTTCAAAGTCAAATTTCCAGTCAATATAAGTCACATGAGTCCTTTTTTTGCCCAGTCAAAAACGTTTAGTGTACAGGGTATGTGAGGAGTTTATGAGGCTAACAGATTGGGGAATGTGGTGGATACTTTTAAGCATTATATTTCGCCGCTTGTAGAACATTCTACAGGGAACTTCCTTTGGGGTTCGAAGTGGGAGACTTTAAACTACCTTTTGAGTTCGGAGTGGGCGACTTTTAGCAATGGAGAAATCCCTTTTTATTGTCGCCAGCTTCAGCGTTTCCCCCCTGCACTTAAATCATCCTCTGCTTTGCCTTATTTTCCCCCAATTATTACCCCCTTCCCGGCTCTGGTGGTTTTTTTTTTCTATTATTGTGTCCCCCTCAGTCAGAGCAAATTTGGTGCAATATTTATGAGTTTTTGTGCGCGGGCCTGGCCGCGGTCTCAGGTGGTCAGCAGTTGTACCCAAAAATAAACACCGATCCACTTTTGTGTGTGCAAAAAGGAAAACCATTTGATTTATGCTCGTGCTCGTGCTCGTCGCATGTTTTTGGCGAGTCATAAAAATGAAATTCGCTTTTGTCGCAATGCGTTAGAGTTTTGGCACCGGGCCAGGGATACAGCCACAGTCGAATTAGGAGCAACAGCAGATTCATTTAGCCGCAGGTGTGACAGTGGCAGTGCCAGTGGCAAGTGGCATGTGGCATGTGTGTCGTGTGTCATGTGTGTGGTATGGGGGGCAGGTTCAAAGTGCAAAGTCAGTCGGCCGCTTGTCCCATATCGATGGATGGATGGCCCTGCCCTCATAGGGGAAATCCAATTTCCGCATCCACATCCGCATCCCCCATCCGGACGTCATTGGCCTGGGCCTGGGTTTATTCAACCTGCTTCCTGCTGCCGCTGCCGCTGCTGCCTTCTCCTGCTTGAAGGCCTCTCCCATTCTGCGCGCTTTGTGTTGCATCATTCTGTGTGCTCATTCGGTATGCAGCCGGAGAGGCTCTCCATGTGGCAGGTTAATGTCTAAAAAGCTACCAGCCATTCATCGCCTTTGTTTATGGAATGGCCCCCGCCAGCCATCCGCCAGCAGCCAGCCAGCCATCAGCCATAAGTCTCTTGGCCTGCTTAGCTCCTGGAGTTGGAAGTTTGGAGTCGGCGTGTGGGCTGCGGGGCAGAGCCGCCACTCAGTGCGTAAATCACAAACGCAGCTGTCGCCAGTTTCCAGCCCTCCCCCCGTACCCACTGCCCTGCCCGATGTCTGTCAGTCTCTGCCTCCGTCTAGCCAGTTTTTCCAGCCCCAACGATTGCTCATTTCTCGTTTTTTTACTTGGCGCAAAAACAAAAACAAAAACAACAACAAAACTCGTCCACTGATCGTAAAACTTACTTTTATGGCTTTTAAGATTCCCCCCCGAAAAAATATTTCATACGCACTGTTGCCCAATGGACATTAAGTACGATTCAAAGTGGTTGCAACTTCACTTCACCTTAAGGCAACTTACTTTCCAAAGCTTGAACTTTGTGGGTTTTCAGCTAAATTAAACTTGAAGCTGTAGTTGAAGGTCTTTGGACAGCTTTAGAACTGGAAAAGTAGATGAATTTTTGGTTTATTTTCGAATAAATAAATAAAAAAGAAACATCAAAAATGTGGCAAGTGAATAAATAGACATAAAATACAAGCACATGACCTAAGAACAAAAAAAACAGCATTCTTTAATGGCTCACTAGTGCGAGTACAAAAGAAATAAATTAAAATTAATAAAGTTTAAATTTTACCGAATTTATTTGAAGTATTAAACGAACTTTTTTTTTTTTTTTTTTTGCAACTATTTTCCTTGTGCTAATACAAAAGTTTCCCTAGCAGCTTTCCCCTGTAGGTTTCATTAATTTAAAACTAAAATCTGACTCATTCTGTAGCATAATTTACTACACTCCCACACGCACCTTTTAGCGAGCAGAGTACCCGCCCGAACCCGCTCCTCTCCATATGGACAACGAACAAACCCCAGAACAACCCACGCAGAACGCAGATTAATGTTCTTCAAAGTATCTCAATCTCTACTCCTCCCCCCTTCTTTTCGTTATTCCCTCCTACGACGGAAATTATCTGCACTCAATCTCTACAATTTGCAAAAAAATATTTCCCTCGCATTTTCCTCGAAAACTTTACGCACAATTTCATGTTGATTATACGCTGGCTCTGTTCCCAGGTCTCTTTTGTCTCTCCACTATGTCTCTTTATCTGTTTCCCTCTCCCTATCCCTGTCTCTCTGCTTCTTTGTTTCGTTGTACTGTTTATGCCCCGCTGTGAGACCCCACACTCCACAGTCGCCAGTCCGTCAGTCTTCGGTTGTTTGCGCTCATTTCGCATGCAAATTCATTTAGGAAATTAATTGCTCACTCCACACGCACCACGCCACGCACTTGCCCAGTTTTTGGAATACCCTCTAGAGCTCTTGAGGAGTGCCCAAGGGGTATATTGGTGGGGTAAAAGTATGTAGCTTAATACTCCGTTGCCCGTAGCGCACGTTCAGTCACACATTTTGCATTCACGGCATAAATTTCCCATAAGCGAAAAGATTATGCGTCATGAATGATAAATCCCTAAATGAAACCATTAAATAAAATCAAATAAAAAATCCATAAAATAAATATTATTATATAATAATTATAAATAAACATAATAATAATACAAAATAATAATAATAAATAATAGAAAATATTAATAATAAAAAATAATAATAATAAATAATATTAATAATAAAAAATAATCAAATTTTTTAATAATAATACATAATAATAATAAAAATAAAAATAATTAATAATAATAAAATAATAAAATTTAAATAATAAAATATAATAATAATAAAAAAATAATTTTTTAATAATAATAATTAATAATAATAAATAATAATATTAATTAATAATAAAGAAAAATAATAAATAATTTTAATAATAATAAAAAATAATAAATACTTTTAATAATAATAAATAATTAATAATAATAGTTAATAATAATAATAACTAAAAGTTAACAAATCAAAAAAAAAATCCAAAAATAAATTGAGATATCCGGGTTAGAGGGTTTACAGGGTATTTGTTAGTTCAGTCCATCCTCGACAGCGTCTCATTTGTATCCGTTTGCGTTTCGCCACGGAATGGGGCAAGTTAAATTGCCGCCAGATTGAGGTCATGCGCTCCACTGTGGCGTGCCACACAAGCCGTGGGGAATGCGTGGCAAATGGAGCAAGGGTTGCCCCATTCCATCTCCCTCTCTGTCTCTCTGTGTGTGATCCCTGATTAATTTTGTACTTGTGCTCCCTGTTTTTTCCCCGGTTACAGATCTATCCCGAAATAGATTCTGTGAGCTGCCGGAGGAGGTGACCACGTTCGCGTTCCTGGAGACGCTGCTGCTCTACCACAACACGATCCGCAGCATACCGGAGTCGGTGAAGCAGCTGTCCTCGCTGACCTATCTGGATCTGCGCAGCAATCAGCTGTCGTCGCTGCCGCGCGAGATCTGCTTCCTGCCGCTGCAGGTGCTGCTCGTGTCCAACAATCGACTGGTCACACTGCCCGACGAGCTGGGCCGCATGGACCAGACGCTGACCGATCTGGACGCCTCCTACAATCAGCTGTCGGCGCTGCCCGCACGCCTGGGTGAGCTGCGCACCCTGCGCTCGCTGTCGCTGCGCAGCAATCAGCTGATGTATCTGCCGCGGGAGCTGACGTGCCTCAGCCTGGTGTCGCTGGACGTGAGCAACAATCGGATTGCCAGCCTGCCGCTCGAGATACGCCACATGACGACACTGGTGGAGCTGCAGCTGGAGAACAATCCGCTCACCGCGCCCCCGGCCAGTGTGAGTAGACCATGGAATATATTTCGAGCCAAGAACCCATTTAATCCCACTCAAATCCCTTCGTTTGTAGCTGTGCATGCGGGGCCTGGTGCATGTGTTCAAATTTCTGGAGACGCAGGCCACCAAGGACGAGAAGGGCTCCCGTACGGGCGGCAACTACGATGGCTACACCACGCTGCGGCGTGCGCCGCGCCACAATTCCAGCGGCAATGTGCTGGAGGCCAGCACCAACAGCTGCAGCAGCAGCAGCAACAACCAGCGACGCCATCAGATCGACTCCGGCTACAGCACCAGCGATGGCCTGGACAAGCGCTGGTCGCACGACAATCCGCCCAAGTCCAAGACAGACTCGCCGCTGCACTGCTCGTTGGCTGCCACACTGCCGCGCGCCGTGGCGCCCAGCGCCATACACATGCACGCCGATCTGATGGACGCCTCGCTCACGTCCAGCACCAGCACCATTGTCGATGAGAGCCTCACGCTCAGTCCCACGAACTCGCCCTGCAAGCTCAGCTACGCGCACTCGAACAGCTCAAGCAACGGCTCCTCGCCGGATCACGACGAGGATCTGATGATGGACCAGGAGCCACAGGAGCGGGCCTCAGCGCACGCCAGCAATGGCAAGCCCGGCAAGAGCCTCAGCAACATTCAGACCTACAAGTGAGGCTCGCATTGGGGGTTATTATCCAGCCACGAAGATTATTTCTAATATTTCCTCTCTCACAGGGAATACAAAGAGGCGCTGAAGCAGCAGCGCAATCAGGAGATCAGTGTCTACAAGCAGAAGCATCCGAATGCCAATCACAGTCCCAATGATGACGATGAAGATCAGTCGCCGCCGCCGCCACCAATCCATAGCCAAGCAACAGCTGGCCTGACCAACGGTGGCGGCGGCGGCGGCTCCAGCACACTGCCAAAGTCCATTATGAAACAATCGAGTCTGAATAGCAACCAAAACGGGCACAATGGCAATGGCAGCGGGCACGGCAATGGCAATGGCAATGGCAATGGAGTCGATGATGTTATTATACCAAAGAAACCCATACAGAAGGTGATACCCTCGCGCAACACGGAGATTAAGTCTGCCTGTGCAACGGGCAACGCCACTGCCGGCGCGGCCGCCGTCTCCACGGATTGTCTGGGCTATGTGAAGCCGCAGAGTCCCCTGAAGAATGGCACCACAAAATTCAATACGTCCAATGGAGCCACAACTTCAACGGTAGTCAGCAGCACCACCATCAGCACCACGAGCGTCAGCATTAAGTCCCCGGTGAGCAGCACCACCAAGCTGGGCACAGTGAAGACGCATCGCTCGGTTACTTGGAATCATGACATACCCGCTGAGAAGCTGAGCTTTACGATGCGTCGCGAGTTCGATCGACAGCGTGAGGAAACCGAATTGATGTCGCAGCTGAGGAGTGTAAGTAGTGGGTGGGAGGGAGGTATGGCACCTGAGCGATCTATAATAATCCAAACTTCCGCCTGCAGATCATCGAAACACGTCTGAAGATGACGCTGCCCGTGGATATAGCATCGGCACTGACCGACGGCGTCATCCTGTGCCACTTGGCCAACTATGTGCGTCCGCGTTCAGTGGCCAGCATCCATGTGCCGTCGCCTGGTGTGGTGAGTGGATCAAGGGAAACCTTACGCTTAACCCGTCAAGTGATTTTCGTTTTTGTTTGCTTGCAGAACAAGCTGACAATGGCCAGATGTCGGCGTAATGTGGATAACTTCTTGGAGGCCTGTCGTCGCATTGGCGTGGATGAGGTGCGTAGATGATGGAAGACAGGAGACACAAGTTCCCTGTTGTTTTATTTACCCTCTATAGTGCAGTGCGTTTCCAAAGCTATGACAACAAAGGAAGCCTAGAAATATGAAAGATATTATAAAAGAGAGTTCTGTTGTGGGTGGAATTGAATTTGCTTGCGTTTTCGGCAATTATTTGTTTTGTAAGCTCATTGGAAATCCATTTTATTCAATTAGTTGTCACTTAACTATTGAACATTGCTAAGAACAAAACAAATCAAACAAAATTGCACAATATCAGCATGAAACTTGTCAATGAGCCTCGTATAAAGATACGTATATCAGTCAATTTATGTCATGGCTCAACAACAAGTGAACCAAGCCCACAGATTAGCTTTAAAACACACACACAAATAGCTTATTCCATCGGTTGTGCATTTGATAAATGAAACATTTAATGGCAAATTATGCCACAGGCCCAGCAAATCAAAAATGTTCACAGCGGAAATCCGGCACAAAGCTCTCACAATCGAATCAGAAAAGATTGCAAACTATAAATATAGAAATGTGATGCATATGCTGTGCATTTCGTTTACGATAGCTGGCAAGAAATAATGCTAGCGAGCCTTTTGCGCGACTCTTTTTTGCTCTCGAACGTTCTTATGCTACTCCAAAATTACTGCAGTAACAATCAAGAATTTCTTACATATTTTTACAAATATATTCCCACTGCTTGAAACTAATTTGAATCCAATTTAATGCTGATTAAAATATATAATTTTGTAGCCTATGCAACTGACTTACAACTTTGAAACGCACTGTACTATAAGCCATATCCTATTAGATATATATATGTAAGCCCTATGTACATATGTACATATTGTAGTGTTGTAACTGTAGCAGCAGGGTTAATGGTGGCTTTTTTGGTAGAATGCTTAAATGCTTTTCCATGGGGAAAATGTAGTTTAGTTTTAAGAAAAAAAAACCCCATCCAACCCCACACACACACGCACACACAAACACTCTACACACACACACACCCAAAAAACAAACATTGAAAAAAACAACAAAAACAAAAACAAAAAAACTGATGCATAAAACTCTGTTATTGGTGTTGGTTGCAGGAGTTGATTTGCTCCTGTGAAGATGTTGTGCCACAAATTGAACCACAACAACAACAACAACAACAACAATTGCCACGCGCTGACGATGACTATGATGCTGATGTATATGTGAATAACGATGATGCTGCTGACATCAGTGGCAGCAGCAGCAACAGCAGCAGCAGCGGCAACCACAACAACAACAGCAGCTATAGCAACAAACATAATAGCGATCATGATGATGATTATGCTTATGCTGGCCAAGTGCCAAATGCATTGGCCCTACTGCGCACAGTGTCCGCTCTGATTGCCCTGGATGCGAATCCACATCATCAGCAGCACATACAGCAAGAGCTGCACCAGCGACTGCAGCAGCTGCAGCTGCAGCATCAAACGGTTGTTGTTGTGCAGCAGCAGCAGCAGCAGCAGCACCTTGAGCAAGAGCAATTAACTGAGACAACCTGCAGCCAACAGCAAGAACAGATGTTGCAGCAACAACAACAACAGCTAGACCATGTTTTATATGAAAATTGTGAGCTTATGAGCAATGGCAAAGAACCTCAAGCTAATGCTAATGCCAATGCCAATGCTAATGATGATGTTAATGATGATGATGATGATGATGTGGTGGGGATGCATCAAGTGGCCAGGCAGGCAGCAGCAGCATCTGTCGGCAGTGGGGCAAATGCTGCGCACGGCCAAGCAAAAGACCTACGAGAAGATCAAACACAATCTGCTCAGTGCCCATGGCCAGCATAGCTTCCAGAGTAGCAGCAGCAACAACAACAATCGCACATTGCACACCATTGTAGAGAGCGAGCATGATGTGGCCACCGCTGGACCGGCTGGTCACTATCACCTCATCGACGAGAAGCAAAAGCAGCAGCAGCAGCAACAGTCAGTAGAGTCCGTAGCAGCAGCAGCAGTTCCTGCTCCTGTCTCCGCTGCCGCAGCCAAGGAAGCCATCAGCAAGCGGATTGAGTTCTTCGAACAGCAGCGGAATGGCAAGCCGCCCCAAGTGGAGGTCTTCAGCATCTATCGCATCGGCGAGGACAAACAGCAGCAGGAGCAGCAGCTGCAGCTGCAGCAGAAGAAACTCAAGTCCAAGGGCAAGGATGCTGGAACTTCGTTGCTCAAACACGATTCGCACACCCTGACCGTGCTGCTGTCGTGCGTCTTCATAGCCACCTTCCTTTGGCTTGTATTCTTCCCGCTGCCCGGCTAGCCATCATCCGCCTAAACAGCTACATTTTGCCTTGATTTTGCCCATAGAATTTAAGATTGAAGACAGCGCGCGCTTTGCCGCTTTGCCGCAACTTGGTAGTGAGTCATTGAGGCTGCTTTTTGTTTAACCCCCTTACCTAGCTACCGCTTTTGTATAATTAAGTCGAAGCTTATGATGTATTTCTACTATAACTAAGTCCCCCCCAACAAAAAACAGGAAACTTTTGAGGCATTTAATTGAGAGACAACCCAAAGACTTTGAAATTTTATAATCAATTGTATTCTTTGATTTGTGAGGGGCATGCACAATGGAAGTAACTTTTGATCTGTTGAGATCTGTCAACCAATGACCGGCAACCAATGGCAGCTTAAGTTCCGTGAAACCCTCCGAGTTCTATTAACATAATTTGACATAAAATAAGTCAGCAACCTGAAGTTTATGTTCCTTTGAAGACATCTTTGTTGTACTTAATTTTGGTTTAGTTCTAGCAGATAATCCATTAAAAAAAAATACTAGCGCACTGTATTATAGGATCATTTAGAAGAGCAGAATGTGGAAGTACTCAAGATATGTAGACTAGAACACTAAATAGTTAATACCTGCAGCTATGCTATCATTTTCCTAGTTTTATTTTACCTCAAAACTTTGAAACAAACTTTATTTGTTATTAATTTGATTAGAAGTTGCATTAAAAAAATGCATTTAATGGATTAACAGCAAGTTGAAGTACTGAAATGTATTTCCTACAATTAAAACAGGCCACGAAATAGCTAAAAACTTGAAGCTATTCTATTCATTATTTTTTTTATTATTTTTAAGGTTTAGTTTATATCGATATTGACAAATATTAGAAAAGATCTTGAAGCAGATCTGAACAAATGAAATATATATATATTTTGTTTTATTTTTGAGCAAATGTATGCAAGTAGCAAGAGAATATTTAGGGTTGTACTATTTTTACCTGACTATTTTTACCAAAGTTGAAATCTTTACTTTATCGTACTTCAAACAATGATTTAAATATGAGAAATGTTACCACTAAACAACTTGAATTGTGTATGCCCCTTGCAGTAATTTTATAGACACCAACAAACAAACAAAAAAGAAACCCCACATATTCCTAGTTCATGTCTTAGTACAAACTGAACTCTAAATTGATTTAGTCATTCGACATTTTCATTTGCTTAGACACGTGCTCGAGGCGTGAACCGAACTGAAATCTTTCTTTAGATATAAAATCATACGCATACCATAATTATATATATATACACCATATGCAGATCATGAAGATCAAGTTGCAACGAAATTAAACTTGTTTAAGTTCCACTTTGGCAAAAGACAAATGAAAGAAGAACCCCGAAAGAAAAACGTAAATTGTGCATAGCTATAGTTAGAATATATATGTATACCCTAAATAAGAGTTATCTATAGTTGTAGACGCTTAAGAAACGGTTGGAAAGGTAAAGAACGGGTCGGGTATTGTTACAGTTTGGAGAGCAACTCGCTGGAGTTGGAAGTTGTATGGTTTTACTTGAAGCAGGGACACACAAAATAGTTGTAGAAAAGCGTGAAATAGTTATAGAATCAATCAACCAACAAATGTACCAATTGCAGACCCTTAATGGTCCAAGAACCATCTTAGAAATAACAGAACAGTTTACCAAATCAGATGCGATATATAGAAGAAGGTTCTAGTTTTTCAAGTGCGCACAATTACGGAAGCAATTCAGCGGAATGGATAAAAGTTTTGTGCCAGTTCAATGTGTCAAAGTCATTTCGATTGATTTAATTGTAAAAGAAATGTTTCCAGCTAAGAACCAAGGGAATAGACAGATCATTCAAGCTAATTGCTTCCTCTTTTGATATATTCACACCCCAAACCCCATCCCTAAAATCCATAAGAAGATAAAACCCAACGCACATAGCATAACATTTAAAACAAAAGACGAATCAGATGAAATAGTGCCTTTTGACTGGAGATCGACGACAGTCTAGCCTGTCTATAACTATCATAACTCTATATGCAATATCGCATCCACCACATGGATCGATATGGCAGTCTTTTTCCTTCTCGAAAGCAATAAATTAACTAACAAATTTCAAAGAACTGAACGCTTTTCTTCATCACTATGATTTAATCTAACTAAGCAACAAGGAAAAACTAAAATCAACTTCTATTTGTGCTAATTACATTCCTAACATTATAAATTAAAATTAAGCAATTATTTATTTAGTTTAAACTTGAGGAAAAACTCTCGATGAAAAACATGCAAAACGAAAGCTAATCAAATTTCTAAAAGAAGCACAATCTCTAACTCTCAGAAAAACATATAATATATATATACATACACACATACATATATACTAAATCCAGATTTATATATTTTGTCTAACAAAATTATTAAAGGATATATTATATGTAGAGCCAGGCATTGAGGCAGCTATAACAAATGCAAAACCATAATCAGTCATTAATTTTTATAAACCAATATTTAACACACACAAACACACAGATATACATTTATATATACACAATACAAATATATACAACCTGAATGTAGTAGGGTCATGGTATTGCCAAGGTTTTTTCCAAAAATCGCCCAGCCAAAAATTTTTGTCGAAATTCTATATAACATTTCCACTTCCAAAAACAAAAGAAACAGAAGAGAAATGAAGAAAATGTGAACTGTTGCATTTATTATTAAGCACAAAAACTGTCAACATTAAGCGCTATATAAAAACGTCAAATCAAAAAGCAAAATATATACGAACAAATTATGTACCAAAACTTTTAAGATTTCAATTTTCAACTTGCCAGCCACAGTTTGACAGCCGCTGTTCGAAAGTGTTAGCTAAGACATCAACCAATTGATGGGACCCTTAGCCCAGACACACACCAGTGGCTTGACAACTGTGGATTTAGTTTGGCAAATAACTAAAACTAAAAGAATACTTTCGTTCAAATATGTATGAAAATTAATTTTATTTGTAAATTATTTTGTTGTAGAATCTGATTTGCTGCGCTGCCGATGTGCTGGAGGGCAAAGGAGCTGTCCAGGTGGCCATCACGGTGGGCGAACTCTTTCGGCTGCATGGCTGCGGTGCTGTTTGCGGTGCCAGCGTCGGCGGTGGCAGTGGCAACAGCAGTGGAGCAGCCACACCAACCAAATCACCAACCAGAATGACGCGAGCCAGCATGTCGCCCACGCCGATGGCCTAAATGGATGCCACAACGAAGGACAGCTTATGCAGAGCAGTGGCTGCTGCTGCCACTGGAAGGATGAAGGATTGCTGACACAAAAGGGTTTCCTGCTGGCCGCCACATACACATACTTATTGAACACACACACTTAATTCGTGCATAGATTATTTCACACCCGAAGGTGTGATGATTTGTTGATATTTCTCTCTCTCACTTATTTTTCTAGGTTTGTAGTTTATTTATGTACATACACAACACAAGGAAACACTCACTCAAAACAAAACAAAACGAACCAAAAGAACACTCAAACAAAACATATTTTAAATGAATTTCATTATGATTGAAATTGAAATTTAAATGGTAGAAGTCACAATTTATTTTTAATCGAATTTAGTTTTGTTGTTCGAGCGCCATATATAGCTAGAGAGAGGGTCTAGCAAGCACTGTGAATGTGTTATAATCTGTTATACTTTCTTTGTCATATACCACACACCACATACATATACGAATTTTCTGGCCAAAATTTCGACTAGCGATTGAATAGCATACTGAATACTGTTTTAAGTATATCCCCCCCCCACACACACACACACACATATGAATGAACATCCAAATATATACGTACAGATGTGTATATGCATCGGGCATATATAGCGTATAGCAAACTAATCTTATGGCATATTTATTATGTAGCTTAGCTGTAGACCTACGATTAACTTGTGGTACATCTTTTCTACCAGCTCTGCATCATTTATACGAATCGAATTGTATTAGACACATAAGTCTTCGATTACACACAACATACACATCCATTATATATCAAATAAAAACTGAGAAATTGTCATACGTACACAGTGTGTGTTTATATTTAATGTGGCTTTTGGGCTTGGGCATGCTTATTGTGGCAAGTAGACAAAGAGACGATCGGATGATTATTATAGGCGAAATAAAAGCAAACAAGTTTCGCGCTCGACGATCCTCTGGTGGAGATAAAATGGCCGGAAGGAATTCCTTGATGGGACGAGACAGTGATCTGACGACGACGATGCGCTTTGGAAAAATCTAGGATATTTTTTATTAGGCAGAAAGAGTGCAGGATTATAAACTGAGTACCGAGTAATGCTACCAATGTTTCGACTGTTTTAATAAAAAATTCACTTAAAATAGGCCAAAAATATTATTCAATTAAAGAATAAATTTTTAACAAATTATTTCCCAAAAAGCCTCCTCTCCTCTCTCTTTCACATTCCACAGTCTTGCCACCATTTCCACCGAAATGATTATCAACTAACCTTATCTAATTGGGCGAAACCTATTTTCGTCACTGCCAGCAACCCCACCTAGAGTTTCAAAGGGTTCGCAGAACTCCACCCTCTTCCCCAACGCACCACCATCCCCTATCTGTATGTAGCCCCAGCCCAGTTTTGGGGGGTTTCTTTTTTTTTTTGCGCTGGGCGTGTAAATAAAAATCACTTGATGCGATTTTTATGATGTGCGTTAAATGATTAAACCACTTGAACTGGTTTCAAATTGTCAAAAAAAAAAAAGGCTAAGAGAAGAGAAAACTTAGTTGGGTGGGAGGGAAAAGGTCTTTATCCCTTTGTTTTCTTAGCCCCATTTTTGTGCTTTGTGTGGGTTCCGTTTACGCTTGGGTGTGATTAGATGGGGAATGGGATATGGATGGGGGGACAGGGCCATCGACTATCTCTCGTGTCCGGAAGTTTTCGGCGCGTGTAAGTTAATTAAATGTGTAAACATGTCAAAGGGATCAAGTTTTGTGTGACCCTCCCCAGAAGATGGTGTTGATTTCGTATCACGCCCCTTGATTGGCTTTGATTTTTGAGACTCCACAAAAAAAAAACGCAACTAAAAGCTGTCCAGCTAATTGGTGGATAGATGCTGAGACTGAGACTGTCAGGGGGTGGATTTTCCACTCCAGCAAACGCATGCAAATTTTTCCATTTTAAAGTTTTCCAGCGGCCATTGAAGTGGGATTCTGTTTTCCATTTTGTTACGTTGAGGGTGGAAAATTGCGCTGCCAGAAGCTTCCATTCTCTCATTTGTAACATTTTTATTTATTCTGTTTTTTTTTGTTTTGTTGCTATTTCTTTTATTGTTTACTCGACTGTCTTGGGGCATTGTCGTTCACGTCCTCGTCCTGTCCCTGTTCGTGTGCTGCTTGTCGTTCCCATTTGTTTCTTGTGCAAATATTGAATTTGCGCTTTTTTCTCCAGAGCTACATGATATTTGCTGGGAGCACAAGTGGCCCACACTTTTCAGAGTTTTCAATTCGGGCTTGGACCGGGTTTCTTGCCCTTTGTTTCGCCTGTTTGCTTAATTTTTGTATGCGATTTTCCCTCATCTAGTTTTTTGCTCATTTCATATTTTCATTGTAATTCAATTGTGCTCCAGCTTCTGCCTCCCCCTGCTGCTTCTGCTGTTGTTTTATGCCAAATGTTTGCTCAAGTCTTATGTTCTCTGCGACAAAATAAAAGGGGTGTGTCGTCTATCGCCTCATCCTGCACCCAGTCGATGTTCTCCAGCTCGTTTGAGTCTTCAGAAAATTGAAATTCAAAGCACCAAATTGTCAGTCAGTCACGCAGAAATTTAACATATGCTCGCCATATAATTTGCGAGCACTTTTCATTTGGTCGACCTCGTCCGAAAATTGCCAGAGTCTGCTGCTATCTCATCGAGTATCTGTCCGGGCCAGATGCGTACGCACAAAGGCACTTTAATGACATATACTCAGTACGTACGTATTCACATTAATAGTAATTTTTATATGCACTCTGTGAGGATTTATTATTTTAAAGTTCTAGCTGAAAGAAAATTGGAAATTTATTAGATATATTGACCGTGAAGTTGGCTTGATAAATAGGAATATCTATGCTTATAAGAGCTAACAAAATGGGTGTGAAAATGTGTATTTCCTGCATGGCTTTTAGCTGGTAATGAAACACTTAAATACTGATGCGAATTTTTATTTATTATTAAGTTATTTTAATTATTTTTTAAATATAAAGAAATTGAAACAAATTAAAATAAATAACTAAATAAAAACTAACTAAAATAAAAAATAAAATGTGTATTCCTGCCTGGCTTTTAGCTGGTACTGAAACATTTAAATATTGATGACAATTTTAATTTAGTTATTTTAAATTTTTTTATTTATTTATTTTAAGTTATTTGAATTATTAAAAAAAAAAGAAATTTAAAAACAACTTCTGTATAATTAAAATAATTCTATAACTAAATTAAAACTAAAATAAAAAATAAAATGTGTTTTCCTGCCTGGCTTTTAGCTGGTAATGAAACACTTAAATACTGATGAGAATTTTTGATTTATTATCAAGCTATTTAAATTATTTTTTAAATATCAAGAATTTTAAACAAAACTTCTGTATAATTAAAATTCTATTACTGAAAAATACAATTTAAACACACTAAAAATCCTTGAAGATTCCCAAGTACTACAGTATAACAAATCGCAACCAAAGCTGTGGATATCCACTCAACAAAGCGAATTGGGAACACTCGCAGGCATCGCAACATTCCAACATTGAAGCGAAAAGCATAAAGAAAACTTAATTTTCGTTAGTCCTGCCAGGGACCAAGTGATTAATGGTTCCCAGCGCCACGACAGTATTATGAAAACGCATTCGAAAATTTCATTAAATTGTTATAAATGAAGTGGAGCAAGGCAGAGTGGCAAGAAGGAAAATGAAACATTTGCCGGGACGGAATTCAATTTGCAAATGCAGCTAGCGAAATCTATCAAACAACAAGTTGAATGAAATCTGTGGCAGGCGATCTCCAACCACCCGCAAAAAGGGAACCCCCCACAATAGCCCACGGGGCTCTTATCAACCCGCTTTGACCAGCTCAGGGACCAGCTACGCAGTCCGGAGCAGCAGCTGAGGACAACAGCTTAGGGCATTTTGAATATGGTCATGCAATTGAAATTTCCTCCGGCTGCTGCTGCTGCTCCCTCTTTGGGTTTGAAAGGCGAAATAGCTTGCAGGCATTTCTGTCCATTTTTCTCTTGTTGGTTTTTCGGAATGGACAGGCAACGTCTGCACGGGACTGATAACATTCAAGGAGTCCCTGCCTCAGAGTGTCCGCCAATTATGTGAGAGTGCTGGCCATCGATAGGCCTCCGTTTGATGTATGTTCGAGTGTGGTGTGGTGTGTGTGGGATGAATGGCCTGGAAATTAAATAGGGTAAGCACATGCTCGTTGAGATTTAATTTCTGGCTAGATTAAAAATGTATTCGCACGGGGTACTTGCAGAGAGATTTGGCCTGAATGAGTTGTATAGTGGAAAGCAATGGAGGAAATGTGGCATGTCGATTTCTTTTAAGCTCAGATTCCATTTTATTGATTGGAGAAATAAATCTACATAAAGTGTGAGGCTATATAGTTGTGGTTACAAAATTAGCAACATTTTTAATATTTTTTGTATTCTTTTAAATTTGCATTCATATTTATTTTGTTTTTCATTCTTAAAATAAATACTTTTCTACTCGAATTGGTCACATTTTTATTTCATTTTTAATATTATTTTTATTTTGGATTTTTATTTTTTATTTTGTTTTTTTAATTTTTATTTAACTCGGAATTTTGGCCGATGCCATGCAGCAGGGCGGGGGGTTTTGAGCCCGCAGTCCTCAAGCCTGCAGATGCCGCAGCCATGCAGCAAGGCGCTGAAGTCCTCCAGCCAGTCGAAGCCGGAGCAGCAGTTTTCTCACAGGTTATGGAACTAGCTGCACCTGCGTACTGCTTGCAATGGGGCAAGGCTTCCTCTTTGAGCCCGGGCAATTTCTTTGAGTTCGAAGTCGAACTGGCATGACTCAAGAAACTATTTAAATATGAAACTGTCTTGCCTTTATTTTTAATATTATTTATTTAAAATATGTGTGCCTCTTTCTGCATTATTTACCTTATTTATTGGCACACTCCCATTAAAATATCTTCATCCAAGTCAAGACTTGCTTAAGCGATTTCAATGGCCTACAACTGGGACAACATCAAATACTTCCAGAGACCCACAACGGGCATGAACAACCACCGAACCGTGGACCATATGACATAACTATGTGTGAATTGATGGCATAAACCCTTCCTATCCTTCCTATCCCTTTTTTAGAAAATACGTGTCCCGTGCCCCGTGCCCCATGCCACACACATTAAACTGCCCTAAACGAATCAGAGTGCGGCAACTCTCTGGGATGGTAGGCTGGGCTATGCAGGGATATGGGACACGTGGTTGGGGGTTGCTAAAAAAAAAAAGGATTTACACGCTTGCCTCAATATACAAATAAGGGTTTCTGTCTGGTGTTCGCCCATTGCCATATTGACTGTCGCCGGAGCCCACGAAGATGAAGTGATTTCTTATCCAACAAATCCACACTCAACAGCCCAACACACAAAAATAAAAAAAAGGGGTTGATGGTGTGGGTCCTTGTGCTTGATGTCCTTGCTGCTCGAGCGCCGGCGTTTGCCAGGAAGTTTATTAAAAAATGGTCGTGTTTGCCTTTGACGCGTGGCTGGCAAACGGTTACGAAGCGGGCCAAAGGAAATCAGTTAACTAAATACGAGACTATCTGCTTCAATATTTATTTAGGCAGCTTCTAATGAGATTCAAGTGCGAGAGGCACACGACAGCCAATCAAAACTGGCACAATAACTAATTGAATAATAAGCTAAATCGCTTAGAAAATACAGCGTGGGGCAGATGGAGGGCCAAGATGGGCAAGAAAAGGTAGTAGAATATTTATGGGAGTCTATACATAACTACTTGTACCATGTGCATGAGTACTTGTAGGATATATAATTAAAATATATTTCAAGGCTCGAACTAAACTGAATTTAGGAGAGTTTAATTAAACTCATATTCCACAAAATAAAATTTATTTAAATAAGACAAAACGAAGAAACTGAAAATGAATACTGGGAATATAAATTAAGTCTATCTAGCTATCAATAATCACAGTTTACAGGGCACTCTTAGAGTGTTAAGAACCAAAAATTATGGATGAACAAATGATAAGGATAAATAAATGTTTTCCCCTCATTTCTAGCTATGATTCCATTTGAGTTAATTCGAAATCTTCCACTCTCTTGGGCATTTATATAGCTGGTTCTTTCGTTTTCTTTCTGGATCATATTAAATGGCTTTAATAGAAAATCTTTTCTACTATTATATGCAAGAAATCTCAGTGGTATTTTGAGTCCACCTTTAGTCCTTTCTCTCCCACAATAATTAAACACAAAAACATTTAATAAATACATTTTCCAGAATAATTTTTATTGAATTTCTTTTAATGTTACGAGGGATCCTAAAAATGTGTGTTCAAGATCAATTTACAATTGGACATCGTACAACAATATCAGTATACATACATACCACATATATATCAATATATATTTTAATATTAAGTACAACTAGTGGGGGTTCTGGGGAGTTCCTTGGTTATACAGGATACAGACAGGATTCACACGCACAACAAATACACATAGATCTATGGCTATAGCTAGGAACTGTCTGCATGCATGCAGTTACAGATACAGATACGAATAGTTTTAGCATATATAATTATATATTTACTTATAAATTCGTAATGGATTTCTGATACGACTGGCTATCACCTAGGTTCCTCTATATATAGTACTCGTAATATATATATATACTATCTATGGCTTGCTTTGATATGGAGAGAGAATGTTGGAATGTTTTTGTGGAAGATTTTGGAGATACAGCGACGACTACGAACTATTAGCTGACTATGTACACGGCTCGGGCGGGGGTAAGGGTTAGGGGTACGGGTTAGGGGTTCACTCGCCGGAACTGATGGAGCTGCCGCAGAGGGAACCCGAACCAGCTTCGAGGTGAACATTGGACATGTTGAGCGCCTGCGGTGGATAGCCAAAGGCGTGGCTGCTGAGCGGCGTGCCCGTCGGACTGTCCAGATCGAGCGACGGATTGATGCGCTTCTCCTTCTGCCGCCGATTGCAGAACCACACACGAATCACCTCCTTGTCCATGTGCAGCCGTTCGGACAGCTGATTGATCTCCTCCGAGGTGGGCTTGCAGTTCATATTGAAGGCCTTCTCCAGCGTCGTCCGCACGGTCGTCTCGATGGAGGTGCGCTTCTTGCGCCTGCGCCCGAGTATGCTCTCCGGCGTGTTGGACAGATTGGTGGTCATTGTGTTGATGTTGAACACCCCACCGCCGGACTTGGCCACACTCGTGTCCGCATCCTCGAGCCACTTCTGGAGCAGCGGCTTCAGCTTGCACATGTTCTTGAAGCTGAGGTTGAGCGCCTCGAAGCGCGAGATGGTCGTCTGCGAGAAGTCATTGCCGTACAGCTTGCCCATGGCCAGACCCACGTCGCCCTGCGTGAAGCCCAGCTTGATGCGGCGCTGCTTGAAGGTCTTGGCGAACTGCTCCAGCTCCTCCAGATCGGTGGTCTCCTCGGGCGACTGCTCCAGCTTGGCCATGGCCGTGGCCACTGTCATGCCGCTTGGTGGCTTCGGCGTGCTCGTCGAGGAGGATGTGTGCTGCTGCTGCTGGTGGTGGTGTTGCTGCTGCTGGTGATGGTGTTGCTGCTGCATGCTTGGGGTGTTCGGCGTCATCACTGTGCTGCTCATGCCCAGACTGTTGGCGGACATGGAATTCGGTGGCGTTCGCTGCTGCCCGGACTTGCTGTTGTGCCGCGGCACCGGACTCAGCGAGGGACTCCTCAGCGGCGACTTGCTCAGCGGCGTCGAGTAGTTCTGGGGCGAGTGCTGCTTGAGCTGCTGCAGCGCCTGGAACTGGGCCAGCGCCTGCAGCGAATTCTGCAGCAGGAACTGTGAGGCCAGATTGGGATTCGGAAAGGCCTCCGGCGCCAGCTGCCGCACCATCTCAATGTAGCTGTGGAGCTGCAGCTGCAGTGCCTGATGCATGTGGCCGGGTGCAAAGTCCAGCAGCGGCTGCTGTGGCACTGCCCCCGGCTCTGGTTCCGGCTCCTCCGGCTGCTCCTCCTGGGCGGGTTTCGTTTCCACCGCCAGGGGCGTGGTCAGGGCCATTCTCTTTGGTGGCGGCGCCAGATTGAGCACCTCGTTCTCCAGCTCCGGATCGAGATCTCTGGCCTGGCGCCTCTTGCTGCTCAGATTCTGTGGCAGCTCGCAGTCGCCCAGCTCCTGTTCCTCCTCCTCGAAGCTCTTGCCGCAGTCTGTAAGTGAAAAGAAGAAGCAGAAGCGAGATATATGAGATATATGTATGTATGTATGCAAGGAGTATGTTTGTGTGTGTGTATCGTGTATTGTGGATGGCTGCCTGCAGTTTGCTTTCCAATTTTCCAACTCAATGAAGTTCAAGTAGCCAACTGGACAACTGGGCAGCTGGACAACACAGCACACGCGTCCGTAGCATAATTTCATTTTAACCAAAGGACTTCACAAGTTTTTCAATATTTCCTCAGCTATTTTAGAGGGTATTCTCTCGCACAAAGGGTATGCTGAATTTGTGATGGGAGCGAGGACTGATTGATCGCATAAAGACTTAAGAGAGAGCTCAAGCAGAGGAGCAATAAAAAGCTTTTCGCTCTTAGTTTTTAGACAGGTTTCAAGTAATTAATTTGAGACCTACTAAGGAAATGACTTATTGGATATTCTAACAAATTAACAAACACAGAATAATATTTAATACATTTAAATATATCAAAATAATAATACGAATATTTTGATATATTTAAAAATTTAAAATTAAAATTATATTAAAATAATAAACAATAAAAATCAAAATAATATTTAATGGATTTAAATACATATGTAAGATATCAAAATAGCAATACAATTTTTTAATTTAATTTAAAAATTTAAAATTAAATTAATATTGTATTATTATTTTGATATATTTAAATCTATAAAAAATTATTCTGTTTTTAATTTAAATTTAATTTTAAATTAAAAATTATTTATTTTTTTTTGATACATTTAAATCTATAAAATATTATTCTGTGTTTTTAATTTAAATTTGGTTTTAAATTTTAAATTTTTATTTTTTATTTTAATTTAAAAAAAACTCTCGTTTAGTTCTCTAAAATCCTAAACCATTTTCCACAATTCTTTCTCCTCCAGCAAGTGTATTCCCTTTGTCGACTCGAACTACATTTTCTATTCTTCAGCCTTTTTAAGGCAAATTTTATTCAATCTTCCAATTGAATGGCTGGCCATCCTTTTGCTATCCTGTCCAATGTCTGCGTCCTGCGGTTAGCTACGATAGACGCTCAAGCGGAAGGGTTCTCTGGTCTTTGTGGCCACCCCCCCACACTATACAGGCAGCAGCCCCAGTACCCGAACCCAAACCCGAGTTCATGTTGAAAACCCAATCATGCATAATAATTGAAAAATAGCCCAACATCAGAGGCCACATCCAAGTCAGGCAGGCAGGAAGCTTTCTCCGTCTTTTGTCTTTTTTTCTACGTATGTATATGCGCAGCAGAGCTCCGGTTTCATAATTTTTCTAAACGGAAAATTATTGATTTCGATGGGAAGGGGTGGATTGACGAAGATGCGCGCATCCGACAGGCGAAATATAAACCAACGATCAGCGACTAGAGATGGGGATCAGGAAGTGGAGAGTGCAATGGATTTATGCGCAGATAAAGAAAGGCAAATAATTTTTTGGATTTTGAAGAGTGCCCAAAAGCTGCAGCTGAAAGTATTTTAAACTTTACTTGAATTTATTTAAATTATTTTATTATTATTATTTATTATTCCATAATCATTTGTGCCTTTTAATTGAAATCTTTTACCAACATATAGGCGAAGGTAGCATCGAAAAACTAACATTAATATTCCTCAAAAGTTCTATATTTTTTTAAATTTAAAATCTGAAATGAGTAAGCGAAAAATCAGTGTCGCATTTGAGAACCGAATTTTATATTGGCAAAAGTCTGTTCGGAATGGAAGGTTTAACTTAACTTCATGATGCCTTTGCCCTTTAATTGAAATCTTTTACCAACGAATCATCGAAAAACTAATATTAATATTCCTCAAAAGTTCTATAACTTTTTTGCCACCCATTTAAACCGCCTAAAACTGCTTACCAAAATCATATAGAAAAAACTAACAAACGTTTCCGTTACAAAGCACAAGAACAAGGCAAAAAATTAAATGCTTTAAACCGATTTGAGCAACAACAAAAAAAAGAGAGGAAGATCTATGATAGTTTTAATCGGATTCAACCCCATGTTTCGAGCTGCTTCAGAGGCTTACGACGAATCGCTTGTGATGCGGGTGAAATGAAACTTTTAAATCGCATGTGGGCAGCTGTTTTTACGACTGACTCCTGCTAGAGTTGAATCCGCCATAACATAATTAGGCCAAAAAGGAATCGAATCGGAAACCAGTCAGAAAATGGGAAACATCTAAGGGTTAGGCAGGGGCAACACACAAAAATTTGTCACCCTTTTTGCATGAGGATTTTTGCCAGCAACCCCCCCGAGTTTTTGGATTTTAAACAATTCGTTACAAATGCTGCAACTTTGAATTTCGAATGCACGACTCGTCTCGGGGTGCACATGCGGGAAAGTGCAACTTGCCATTGGACAAAAAGAGAAACCCAGCAACCCAACAAAAAAGGGTTTCAAATGTTGCATTGTTTGTGCCTGCAGCGAGAAAAGGAAAGTCAAGAAGCTGCTGGAGCAAGTTGCCCCACGGTTCGGTGCCAAAGGAAGACACACGGCGCGCAGAGACTGGCAGCACTGTGATCCTGTGCCCTTTGTGACGTGGAATGCGCCTGCAGCGATCCCCGAAACTCGAACCAGGTGATGTCTGTGAGCAGATGCGTTATCCTGCCACGTCCTGCACAATGCCTCAATGTGTGAATGTTTCGTTTCCACTGACAAATGAAGTGTTGCCTGTTTTGTATTCTCTCTTTGGATATTTCTGTACTCTTTTTTCTCCCCTGCCCCTGCCCTGCCCTGCCCGGCACTTTCAGGGGTTGGTTTTTCCCAGCATCGCTGGGGGGGCAGGGGAAGCGCACGTAAAGTGCGTTCCGATTTATGGGAAAGATATGGCCAGAGATGCAAAGAGCAAGCAGAGTGCACATTGGCAATCCAATTATTTTGGTATATCTCATGCATTTTATCATCTACAAATGAGTGAGCGAAAACCGAATTTGATATTGGCAAAAGTCTGTTCGAAATGAAAGGTTTATGGGCAAATGATTTAGCTTCTTTTTTAAGGAATCTGCCATGGAGTTACTCTCTTTTAAATGCACACATCAAAGAGCTGAACCCGCTCGCTGATTTTTGGGAATTTATCTCAATTAATTTCCATTTTTATTTTATTTATTTATTTTAAAATAAATAAATAAATAATAAAAAAAAATAAATAAAATAAATAATAATTAAAAATAATGCCTCGTTTTGTATTATTTTAAATATGCACTATATGCACTCCTTTAATCAAAGGATTTAAACTTTTATACAAAAAAAAAAAACATTCCCAAACAATTCTCAAATTTAGAGCTTCCCCCCAATAATTTCCATATAATAGCGGCCCTTACTTTTGGCACTTTCATTACCCCCAAACAACTTAAACCCTTAATCAACAGCACGTCACGCCTTTTAGCGCCTTCAACTCCTTCAGCTCCTTCATTATAAAGGCACATATGGAAACCCCTTTAGAGCCCATTCACTGCCTGTTTGCATGCCACACAAAACGCCCTCGAAACGCCCCCAGGAGCAACTTAAAAAAAAAAGAGTTTGAAACACCCAATCAAAAAAAAAAAAAAAAGACTCTGATTATAATATCCTGCATCGAATTACCCTCCAAAGTGAGCCGCAATTAACTTCACGCAACCAAATCCTTTCAATTTGAATAACGGCAAGCACCCAGAGAGTGGAGAGGGGAGCGCGGAGGCATCAACAAGTGGCACTCGAAATAAAAAAAAGGGCAGAGGGTAACCCTTCGCTGTGGCTTACCCCTGGCACAGAGGCTCTTCACACCTCAACGCTATTCAAATGATATGTTAAACAGGGTTCAGACTCGTTTGTTGGATCAACAGTTTGCCTTTTTTATTGTAATGATGTTCTGCCACTTGAGTTTTTTTTAGCGATTGAGGCCAACCCTTTTTTTTTGTGCCCCGTTCCTTGCGCTGTTGTGACACATTTGAATATGCATAATGGATGGCTGGGGAAGGCTGGAAGGGTGCTGCAGGGGGCACCCCTGGCTGCCCTATTGACTCGCCTAATTTGTGTAAACCAATAAAAATGCTAGTTTAATTGTCAGCTACTATCGGATGGCAACCCTATTAACGCGCCTCGTATTCAAATGGGGTGGAATGCCAATGCCGCTGCGTGCATGTTTTTGCATAGATTAGCTGCACTTTGTTAGGGGTTGCAGGGTTGCAGGGTCGTCCTCACATAATAGCCGGCCGGGCAATCATTTAAATGCGCCCCACACAGATGAAAATTTACATTTTGACAAATTGTTGTATTTGTTTGTTGTTTGTTTATTTGCGTGCCAAAGAGGGTCAGGCGAGGGGTCAGCGAGGGAGGGCGACAGCAAGGTCAAAAGAGCATAGGAACTACATAAGTAGGATGATCTTCCATGTAAATTTTGGCTGTTTTGGGGGGTTGTTTTAAATGGGCACTGCGGGGTGTTGGCTGTGTGGGTGGAAACAAATTATTTGTGGGGGTATTTTCAATGGAAACGGCTGAAGGGGCAGGGGCAGGGAAACTTGCCAGTTGCAAGGTAACAATGGCAGAAATTTTTATAGAAAATTTGAAAATTTGTTAATTTTGGGATGAGAATCTATGAGAGCTTTAAGGGGCATCAATTATTGGGAATTATGTGGGAAATAAATATGGAATATTAATGAAAAATTTCGCTTCCACGGAATATATTATTTTGGAGCATTCGAAGTTCTGCAGCTGTAATTTTGTTCAAGAAATATTCTGTTTATCCACTTCAATCACCCCCTTTTCCCACTCTACTCCTTTTATGTTGCTTCAAATTCCCATATTCATGCTTATGGCCAGCCAAAAGTGTTCCTGCCTCACCTCAGTCACACTTCAGTCACGTGCTGCACCTATATCCACGAGTATCTATCTATCTATAAAGGTAGGTACCCCTGAACCTAATGCCTCATTACCACTGACAGACCCAACTCCAACATCAGACTTCAGCCTCACTTCCAGCCTCAGAGTTTTGAGCTACTACCTAAGCCGAACATTCACGAGGTTAGGGGATGGAGGGGGATATATTGGGGTACGGGGTTGATTGCATATTGCAAAAAGAGAGAGAGAGAGAGAGAGAGAGAGGGAGGAAGGCATCGAAATAAAACTATAAAAATTGTCTGTAGCCAATGCAGCTCGTGTGAGTAATCAATTTGGCCACAAAGTAGCCACGTTCCGACACGAGTCAGAAGCAGGAGCCGTAGCCGTAGCCCCGGACATGTCTGCTCAATGGTGACCAAGGATTAGCCATATATTTACCTGATAGAGAACGCAGCGGCGATGGCGGAGTGGGCGAGTTGGACATGTGTCGCATAACTGCAATGACAAAAAAAAAAGAAAAAAAATTTTGTTTAAATTTTTAATAATATTTTAGCCAAAAAGAAAGGCAAATGCAAATGACAGACACGTTCCAAGCCAGCACTGAAAAGTTCTTAAGAACCAGCCAGTGGGGAGTGTTAAGCGGGAGTGGAGATGGAGTCATGTCTGACGCTGGCTCGTAAAATGTCCATTAGGAATTCGGACATAACACATTTCTTATGGCATAGTATAACATGCAAAAATTTCGTTTCAGCTCTGAGCAGCAACGCTGAGTGCACCGACTGCTGTAAAGTTTTGCGTTTAAGTGTCCATTTCCGCTTACTTAATGCTTTGGCGTAGTTTTTTCACAACATTTTCGCTGAGTGGTGGCACACAAAAACACCCCAAAGTAGTGGCGAGAAATGCACTCAAAATTACTCAAAATTAAATATGATTTCTAGGAATGGATATATGTATATTTTTCCCTTCGCTTTACAACGCTTCTCTTTTCTTTCACATGCCCAAAGTCAATCCCTAACTCACTCACAAGTGATGGCAAAAATCCCCCCACACATTTCTCATTCCTTTTCGCCACTGTCCATCCGTGTCCTGTGCTGTCCCTTTTTTTTTTTGTGTTGTGTGTGTGCCATTTGGTTTTTTGTTTTGCAAAGTAGATATTAAATTTATAGCTCCCTCGGGGCGTAAGCAAAGTAGTAGCCGGGCCAAGCAGGACCAAAAAAAAGTAACATATTTTTACGACAATATATAGTGGGGAATCCTTGTGCATAATGTGCCGGCCAGGAGAATATAAATATACAGATTACCCGTTTTGGACACTCGGACATTGTGGTCGTGTAATGGCTTTCTCTTGTGGGATTGCTGTTGGTGGGGGCAGGCAGGCGGGCAGGCAGGAGGCGAGCTTAGAAGGGACCCCCCCAATCCACTTGGTGTGAAAGGAGGATAACAAGTGGCATTAGTCAAAGGATCTGTGGCATATAAGCTGGCCAGATGATCTGCATGTTAGGAATTGTTTTTCGCATTCTCTCTCTGTGCCCTCTCCCCCTGCACACCTTCGGCTTAGATGTAATTACACAAAAATTGCCTTTTGTGGCTAATTTGGTTTCGCTTTTGTTCCAAAATGCTACGCTTCAGGCAGAGGCAGAGAAATCGTATTTCCCTTAAAAAAAAGGAACCTTAAAAGACTCAAGAAAAGCAGCCAAGGAATAAGCAGAAAAAAACGTTTCATTTTTCCCTTTGTTTTCATGCAAAATACCCGCAGACAAAAAAAGACAGCGTCCTGCACAGGTAAAAAGGACACTTCCAGGATGCAAATGTAAACAAAACAGAAAGAGAGAGACTCCCGACTCCGATCACACGCTCGCTCAGTGGGACACTCAAGGACAGCTGCTGCTGCTGCCCAAACCCAACCGATCCGAACCGAACCGAACCTCTCCCAGCCGGACATCGTCTCAAATCTATTGCCAAAAACCCCATGAAATCGTTGATCTGATAGGGAAATTGTGTGTGCCCAGATAGATCTTTTATGCCATGGGCCCTGGGACCAGTTCTCTAATGCTAATGTGTGGGCGTGTAATCATCATCGGTGTCCTTTGTGCATGCTCGAATTGTTCCTTTCTTTGTGTCTGCTCTTGTTACAGCAAATTTATTGCTTGAGAAAGTGAAAAGTTCGGAGCTAACAGGTAGGAGAGGAGTTCCTTCAAGCATCTTCGATAGGGCAAGTGGATTGTCTTTTAGGAATTATTAATCATGTAAATGATCAATACCCTTACAGGTAAATAATCTATAAAACTTAATTCTGAACAACTCTTCTGTGATTCAAATTCAAATTCCAATTATGGAAATTGTATTTGAATAACTTCACCAATTTAAATATATTCCTAAATTTCCATATGGGAAAATCTGAGTAAGTTGAGGGTTTTCTGACAGCTCCACTTGGTTGCAAGGAGGCAACCCTATTATGAATAAATTAAACTCTTTTGGTGCGGCATGGCAACCTTGAAACTCACATTGCTGTGCCGCTGCTGTTGCGCTTTCATGATCCGCACTCGCGGCCTGTTGTTGGCTTTGTGCTGTTGCTGTTGTTGTGGCTGATGTCGCGTTTGTGGCATCCCAAAGGCGTTGCTGTAGCACCATCATATTGTTGCAGTTTTTTGTTTTGTTTTGTTTTGTTTCGTTTTTATTGCGGCAGCACTTCACAAATAGTCAAATTTTATTCAAATTTTAGTTGACACTTTAAGCATTCACTGCCAGCAGCCAGCAGCCGACAACGACACCGACACACGCACGTGTTCAAAGTCTTTCTTTTTTTTGGTTGTTTGTACCCGTCGTCTCACGGTTTGATTTTTTTTTTACTTCGTTTCTTTTGCTAGTTCTTCGCTTTCGAGCCGACCTTCTCCTTCTAGCTTCGTTTACCGAATGTGCAACTGACAGCAGACCGAGTGCCAGTCGGACCCGTTATGTGCAATGCATGCTCTCTCACTCACTCATTTCGTATCGTTGCCTTGCTCTGTCGCTCAACAGAGCGCTGCGTGTGCTAGTGTGTGTGTGTGTGTGTGATATTGCTTTATGATTTGCAGCAGTTTTTCCTATTCCTGGTTTTCTTTGTTGTTGCCAGCGCACTCCACTCCACTCTACTCTCTTCACCGCTGCCTGCGCTGCTCTGCACTTCACTCATTCCACAATCAACCCCTGGCACACTGCACCGTTAGTTGAGTCGGAATGAGAGTGTTTTTGTGTCCGTGTCGCCGTGTCTGTGAGTTTGAGTGTGGAACGTATTCTTTGTCGCCTGCATTTCGATCTCATCTCAGTCCGGGTCCGTTCTTGCACTCTTCTCACTCCATTCTATTGTTGCGCTTTCTTTCCCCTGCACATTTTCCTGCATTAGCATAGGCCACAAGTTGACTTCTCCTCCGGAATGGGTGTGGCCTATGTATTATGCAGTTCCCTCAGCAGGGGAGGCAGGGAACTTTCGAAGGGGGGCGGCTTGGCTTCCTTCTTGCGCAGTTGCCGTTCTCAGAATTTCTTTGCATATCTCTGCCTGCTCCCTCCCCACCACATTGACAGAGCCACGTAAATCATAATTAAGTGTGGGATGCAGTGCGGGGGTTGGTCTTATGTGCTCCCCAGAAGGTGTCTGCTGCTGTACATAGCAGCAAGAAGTTTATATGGAAAGTATTATTGCACTGGCAGCGTCGGGTGGTGGAGGTGCCAACTTTAGGGAGATTGCCTTCAGAAAGTTCGTTTATAATTAGTTTTTGTTTTTTTTTTTTAATATTTTCTGGTTGTGTATTGTTATGGGGAGAGTTCGATATTAGTTGCATATTGGATTTGTGCACTTTGGCGGTATATGCGGTACGATATCGATTGCGAACTATTTATGAAACTTTGTTGCACTAATCTGATTTTCCATTCATATATTTGTCAGTTATGTACATAGTATGTACATTCTTAACATTTGTATGCCTAATGTTTATATTAATTATTTGTTTATAGGCTACGCTCATTGCGTCAGGCAGTGTCAGGCTGCTCCCGGAAAGTACTAGAATTCTTAGAATAAATACTTCTCATAAAATGCTATTTATTTATTCTTTATTTATTTGTTATGTTCATTGAACTACTGGCTGGCAGAATAAGAATTCATGCAAACAACCTACTAGCTTTAATTTATCGTTGAAATTCGTTATTCCAAAATAATCGAAAATAAGTCAATTTGAGGGATACCTAAATACATAAAGTACTATGTATAGTAGCACGGCTACAAATTAATCTGTCTCTAAAACTAATAAAGAATACTAAAGCTAATCTTTCTTCTAATGTAAATCACATTACTTATTTACCGACTGCATCTGTTCTGTTCCCCGCAAGTGTACATTTATCCTAAGCGTTCCACTGTGCGGGTGACTGCTCCTGCATCCTTTTGGAATCCCTGCTCAATCTGCCCAGCAGTTCGACCATTTCGGTGTGATTATATAAACACAAAACTCATTCATATAAACATCAGCGCAGCCATTGAACTGAGACGGCGACTGAGACTGCGACTGCGACTGAGAGACTGCGACTTGGACTTGGGCGAGTAATTACAACAAGTGTTGTAGCGCGCGCTCTCTCTGTCTCTCTTTCTCGCGTTGTTTCACGTGTGCTTTTTCTTTGTTTTTTTTCTGCAGCAGTGCAGAGAGGGAGACCGTTTTGGCTGCAGGACTGTGTGTGTGTGTGAGAGAGAGCTTATGCAGCTCTGGTGACAGCGTCAACATTTTATGATTATGACTGTGACTGTGACTGCACTTCCTCTGCTTTTGTTCAAGCTTTCAGCTGAGAGTAAGTGAAATAAGAAGCGAGGGAGAGAGAGGAGCAAAAGTCCCTGCTACGTATGCTATTTCCGGACACTGCCGACATTTTTCCGTTTTCGCCTGAAACATTTTAATTAAAACTGCAAAATTAATGTTGTTCTGCCTCAGGATGCACAGAACTCAGGACGCAGCACTTTGACTCTCTCTCTCTCTCTATTGGTCTCGCCTCCCTCACATTAAAGTGCCAAAATGATTTAAGTTCGCAAGGAAATGCAGAAAATCAATAGGCAGCGTAATTCCAACCCTCAGATATCTGTGCCCCGCCCCCAAACTAATTTCAATAGTTATCCTTTTCTGCTGCTGATTAAACTTGTCACTGGGAGACAAAAGATAAACAGTTCCTCACTTTGGATAGTTTTCCACGTTGTCTGTTATTTCTGGGGGGCCCCACTGAAGTTTCCTGGGCGGTGTCTAGGCAATTTGATTATTTGCCAAAAGCAGACATGGGACACACCAGACAGGATAGGACAGGACAGGAAAGGACACTGACTAGTCACAGATACATAGTTACAATGGGAACGAGTGGAATGCCCATTCCGACTATAAGATATCCATTGGTATGATTCAGTCAAGTATTTGCTGGTACTACTGATGCCAGACGAAATAATATTCCTTGAAATTATTATCCCACAAGTAATGGAGATTTTTGATAGGGAATATCTACCTTAAATAAAGAATTATAAATATAAATAAATAATAAAAAAAATATATAAATAATAAATTAAATAAATAAATATAATTATTATAAATATATATAAGCTCCAATCTTCTATTGCTGGGTATCAAGAAGGGCAGATAGATTCACACACACACACACACATGACAACCATGAAGGGCAACCAGAAAAAGTAAGTTTTCGGGCATTGAAATTAATCAAGAAAATAAACGCTTGGCAGCCTCGTTGGGCAATGGGCGGGTGGGGGTGTTGTGGCCAAAGGGGGATAAACCACACACACTTTGCATGACGAAAACAGACGGCACAAGGACAAGGACAGCAGCAGGACCAACACCGGACCCGGAACATGGTCCAAGTCTGTACAATGTTGGGTGGTTTTACTCTCCAACTACATGCGAAATTTTCCAACCATTTTTGCTGTCGCTTCTCGTTGCTCTCGGCCCGTTGTTGTTGTTGTTGTGGTTGTTGTTGCAACGCATTAAAATGACATACCAATTTGCGTTAAGCAAATAAGACGAGACTAGCATTTCGGTCGGTCTTGCCTTAGTTTTCTGGGGGGTTGGCATTGAGTACTTGGGGGGTGGCCCGTTTGGCTTTAATGTTGAAGCATTTTGCATGTGACGGAGGCTGAGTAAGAATTAAACTGAGATCTGGTATAACTGACAGAAAAATGTATTATTTAAAGGAAACAATTGTGAACCTATATGGAATTATCTATGGCAATGTTGACACATCTTTTATGTGAAATTATAATCCCTTTACGCTGTACCGCTCTTTACTTTATAGACTTTAATCTAGCATTGTATTAAAAAGCTTCCCCCTCTAACAAAAAACATTTTCTAAAAAAAAGAACCCTCTCTGGAAATGAAATTCCCTCCAAAAAAAAGTTTCAACTCTTTTCATCTGCTCGTACAAAAACGAAAAAAATATCGCGCCAAAAATCTAAAAAAAGAACCCGAAAAAGCGAGTGCAAATCGATGAGGAAACCTCAGCAACGGAAATCAATAGAGGAGAGCACAAAAGGCCGCCTCTAAATGTCCCTTCGTACTTCCGCATTTGTGGCGCCGCAGCATCCTCTTCCCATCTGAGCGGAACCTTCCCGTCTTTGATTATTTATTAACGTTTATTGATTTCGACTTGCCTTGCGGGTAAATCTGCCACAGAAAATCGCTGTCAATCGCTGCCACTGGGCAACCCTTCGCAAAAGTGCCCGAAAACACACACAAAAATAATGCATTTTCCGAAGGTTTTTTTGCTCGCACAATAGCCAAGAAAATTGCGCGCAATTTTTTTGGGCTAGAAAACAGGCAAAAAACGGGAAGAAAAAACAAAAACGACAGACTCAAGGGTAAAAATTGAGGATCACTGTCGAGGATTACCGACGATCTTCCACAGCTTAGCTCTAAGGAAAACACACACACAAACACACACACACACACAACTGAAGACAGTAGAGACATGCACAGGGGTAGCAACAACCCCTTGCCTATGGGTATGGACTATGGGCTATGGGCTATGGGTCCTACCTAAGGGTGAATGTACCCCAATAATGCGTAATTTTTTAAGGTAAAAATCGCTCGAAATTGAAAGAAATTCAAATTGAACAAAGGCGCAACAAAAAATACATTTTGGGTGATTTTTTGTGCGATTTTGTCTGTGGGGTAGGGTGAGAAAAGGGCAGAAAAAATTGCGGTTCCTTTTTTTCTTACCGTTTTTTTTGGGTTTTTTTTTTTTGGGTGCTTGGGCTCTGATTAAGTACGGGATATCTAACGGAATTTTTGCACAATTTTCTCACATTTTTTCTATCGATTTGCCGAAGACATATTGATTTATATGTGCGCCTGTCGCCTAACCCATTTCGGGTAAAAAATTGAGAGTTTCATAAGAAATCCGTTACTTTTTATGGACATGGAGAAACTTAAGAACTTATGGGAAAGTACAGATATTTGTATGGAAGGTCTTTGTAATATTTGATGGGAGTTTTCTATGAATTTTAATTTTATACCCATTCATTCTTGCTACTCCAACGCTGCCTCTTACCTAAAACTGTAGAGTTGAGGCAACCCCCTTAATAAGCTCTATGAAAATCCCTTACAATGTAACGCCATTTTCAGCCCTTCCCAACTTCCCAGCCCCTTCCCTCGCCGTACTGCCTATCAATCTATGCAAATCTAACCCTTGTGCCCTGAGCAACCATTTTTAAGTCGTGTAAAAAATTTAAATCGCATTTGAATGGCGGGTTCAAAATGGATTTATGATCTTTGCTTTACAGCTTGTAAAGCGTTTTTATTGCATTTACTGCGTAAGAGTAGATTTTGTGCTGGCTGATGGGTGGCAGTGCCAGTGCCACCCCATCAGAGTGCGGTCCCCGAGGCAGGGCTCAATTGGCCATAAGCTGCTCAGAGTACCGGGGTCACAGTTGGTAGTGACACCAGCTCGAGTTAGAGAGCTTTCCCTTTGGATTTTACTTTTTACTTTGCTTTTTTTGCGAGGGTGATTTTTGTTTGAGTTTTTTTTTTTCTTTCTATTTTCTGTGTCCCTGTCAAAGGTTAGGTTACCTCATGCAATTGTGGTTCGTGCGCCGCAAGCAACCTTTTTTCGTGCAAGCCACCCACCCACCCCGAAGGAAGGACCCACCCACGCAGTGGCCAGACAAAGTGGTTTTAAATTCCATTAAATAAAGTTGTAAAGGTTGCCCCCAACGTACTTGAGAATTTTCACGCATATTTTGTTCGCACTTTTGTAAAATTTATTAATATTTTAGTGATTTTAAATGGAGTTTGTATGTTGGCAATTCTCGATGTACGCTTCCCTTTTCCCCTTTTCTTTTTTTTTGGGGTTGGCCTAGGTGATAGCATGGCATACATTCCATTGTATTAAGTTGAGAGCTTGTAATTGAGTTGAATTTTTGTTGGTCTATGGGGTTGGGTTGGGTTTGGTTTGGGTCAGTTGGAATTGGATTTTGGGGATAGCAAATGGATAGAAAAGGTGCACAAAGGCATGGGTCAGGAAGGCATTGAGAGGGAAATTCGAGGAGTGAGCATGAAAAATGGTGAAAGTAATACCAGAATATTATTTATTATATTTTATTTATAATATTAAAATTTAAACAAAATCTAGAGCACCACAAAATGTCTTCAGTTATCTGCAGTTTCTGTGTACCCAAACGAAATCCAACAAATAAATTTATTTACACTCCAAACCCCACCTGACACCCACCTCAAAAGTTTCTGCTGGGCAGCATTTATATATTGAATATAATATTCACATTTCCGCTTAATGGCTTAACCCAAGTAAACCCCACAATGAACCCATTCCAACTTCTCTCGCCTCTCGCCCCCTGGCTGACAATTAGTTGGGGGGGGCATAAAACTTACCTTTGTTGGCGGGACGACAATGTCGTCCACCGTTTGGTGGCTGCTCGTAAATGATGAGGTCCTTGGGCGGCTCCGCCATGGCAGAGAATGCGGACGAGGTCAGGACTTGCCTGACTGGCTGGACGGCTGGCTGCGGCGTCGGCGGGGGCTCGGGCTGCTGTGCTGGCGTTGGGGCAATGCCGAACAGCTTCCTGGCATGGCCATTGCCATCATAGACGACACCATGCCAATGATGGTTATGCTCCAACAACACGGGCGGGGGTGTTCCGGTTCCCCGTTGTGGCTGCTCCTCCTGTTGTGGCTGGTTGTGGCAGGGGGCTGGTGCTTCCAGGGAGAGCTCCTCGTCACGCAATAGCTGCTGCTTCAGCTGGTGCTCCCGGATGAGGCGATCCCGTTCGTGGAAATGCCGTACGAACAAGTGCTCACCGTTGGGTCCCTGCTTCGGTGGGGTTAATGACTTGAATGTCTCGGGCTTGCCCTGTCCCTGGCCCTGGCCAGAGGACGAGGACGAGAACTGGTATACCCCCAGACCGGGAGGCAGACTATTAATTAATGTGCCCATTGTTGCTGCTGCTGTTGCTGGCTGCTGTTCTCTGCTGATAATGATGTTGTTGGAACATAATTTCATGCAATGGTATTAGAAAGTCTGGCAGGGATTTCTGATGCTGCTGCTGCTGCTGCTGTTGCTGCTGCTGCTTGACAGATGCCAGCGTTTCCATGCCAAAATATGATGGGGCCGGCAGCAGACATGTCTGGCCATCCCCCATGGCTCCTCCACTCTCCAATGCGGAAGTCATGTGTGCCGCCATATCCTTGTTGATGTCCCTGCTCCTATTCCTATCGCCGTTGCTTCCCTTGTCCGTGCCGTTGCCGTGGCCATTGTAATTATGATATCCAATGCCCTCGGCTGGCCTCAGATACCAGGGATTTAATATTGTTTTGCCACGACAGCTTGTAGAAAAAACTATAAATCAGTGCAGATAGGAAGAGAGAGAGAGAGAGAGAGACAAAGGGTTAAAGGGTTAAACAATTGCATTTTTATAGACTCTGCTGCCCTAAACATGAAGTGAGAATTGTTTTTGGGCTTATTTCTGCCTCAGAAATGCTGATAAAAATGGGCAAAAAAAGGCAAAAAAAAGCAAAAAAAAAGGGTTACAAAAAAGGGACTTTCGATGTCATTATCAACACTTGCTGGCTTTGCACGCCCGCTCTGCCCGCTCTGTGCCCAACCCCTAGCGCATTGCAACCCCTTCCCTGGCCCACGTTGCTGGCATATTGGCAAATGGAAACCGTTTATGTCACTATCAATTACTCATCATTATGGAACTCTGTTACGCCTTGCCACCTTGCCACCAAAACCCTCTCTCTCTCTCACTCATCCCCATTTAGTGCCGCTTTTTTTTTTTTTTTTTGCTGTCGTGGGGGTTGTACGCCATATTTTTTGGTTCCGTTTTTGAATCAGTTCCTCCAATCAATTGTTTTTCCTTTTTTTTTTGTATTCTTTTCATTTATGACTTTGATTGATTATGAAATCTGCACATAATTTGGATTTTATAGTTTTTAGATAAAGTTAGGTTGGTGGGGGGGTAGACCCGCTTAGGGGCAGTGAAATCTGAACATTTGTGCATCAGAGTGTGGGCGTGGATCTGCTCATAAGTGTACGCCCACAGCTGAGTGATGGCTTAGCTCTCTATTAGCCAAATGTCAAGTCTAATGGGGTGGCTGCATTGGGGTAACAAAATTGGCAGAATTTTTATTTTATATAAACTTTAGCGAAATAAATAAAAGTCTTTTTGCAGAAAATTAATTTTAATTCTTAAAAATCCAAATTAAATTAAATTTAATTATTTTAGAATATTTCAAATATATTTAAATTAAATTTTAGATTATTTTAGAATTAATGAAATATATTTATTTTAAACTGAACAACTGAAAAGGGGGAATAACTGCAGGAGGAGGAGGTCTATCAGAAGTGACAACAGACATTTATAAAAAAATATAATATATATAATATATAAACTTTAAGGAGAAATTAGATAAAGATGGTAGAAAATTTTATTAATTTATTTTAATTATAAAAAAAAATATTTTAATTAAATATTAGTTATTTTAGAATATATACAATTTTTAGAGAAATTAAATGAAAGTCTCTATGATCGAAAGGGAATATCCATGTTACTTTTAATTCTTAAAGTTCCCTACTAAATATTTTATATATATTTTTTTTTAAGTCTTTCTCTGAATATCCAAAATTTTCCACCACTTTTTCCCACTCCTCTTTCTAGTGCTTCAAACGAGAACTGCTACTGTTTTTTTTTTTGTGGGCTGATCACTTCATTGCTGATCATTTACAGACAGACACACACAACGAAAAAAAAAACTTCAAATCATTTCATGAATGAAACTTCGACCTATGGCTAATGATGCACAGAGATAAAAAATACAAAAAAAAAGAAAAAACAACAATAATAATAAAAACGAATGGCATCAGTCGAAGTCCAAGTCCAAGGCAACCACAAAATGTTCATTAGAGCGCCAAAAATTGTGTGAATAATGAGGGGAGTTCACGATTCAACAGGCCGCAGATAATTGTGATCTCCGGCGAGCAGCCCAGCGATATATCCCGACCGATCAGCTGAGACTCAAAGTTATGGATATTAATTGGATTTACGAGAGGTAGAACAAAGTCCCAGCCGCAGCAGGAAAGTCATTTCCCGCATTCTTAAGCATAAATAATAATAAGGAAAATATTAGTCAACGTTTAACCCTTTGTCAGGCCGCGGGCGAGTGCTGGCCACGCGACATCTTGAAGAAGGGTTGACAAACCGGAAATGGAAATGCAAAAGGGTTTGGATTTGGATTTGTATTTGGGTATGGGCTTGGGCTTGGGTATGGGTATGGGGGAAGTGTGCCAGGGATTATGAAAATGAAACTGGGTTGGAGGCTGCACCCGAAAGCTGACTCTGACTTCTAATTACTGGAAATGCTTCCTGCTTTTCGTTTTCTTCGTTTTCTATGGCTGCTACTGCTGTCAATCTGCCTGAATGCTCGTGCCAGTCAAGGTTAGCGGGGAGGGGGAAACTCTCATTGAAAATGAAGATCTAAAGGTGAAAGTTTCAATCAAATGAAAGGAAGGGAAAGCAAATCAAAGGACTCTTTGCTTGCACAGTTGCCAGTAGAAGGGGCAGGAGGAGGAGGAGTAGGAGTAGGAGCAGCAGCAGCTGCTCTACCACAAGCCACAATTGTTAAAAAACTGAACATTAAATCCTTTTTTTTCAGGCTCAATTTGCTACAGAAGCATCCTGAGCTGCGAGCGTCCTCTGAGCCTCGCAAGCTGCTGCCAACTGCTGCGAAAGGCGCTCCAAGCCGACAGAGGACAGGGGGGATCCCCTGGCATCCTCAATCCTCCTCTATCGTCTATCCTTTCCGTCTAAGGCAGCGATTCCCAGCTCCTTTGCAGCTCCTTTTTTTTGGCATTGTTACTTTGTGCGATTATATTTACCTGCAACATGGCGATTAACACGCATCCTGGCTGGCAGGACTCCCCTACCTGGTGCTGCTGGTCTTTATTGCTTTCCTATGCGCCTTGATTTCACATTGCGGCAATAGCCTTTATCCTTTGTGCCCCTTTGTTGCATGCACCGGCTGGCAAACACATTACACACAAAAAAAAAGTGAAAACCGAAAAGGGGGAAGAACTGCCAGGAGGAGGAGGAGTACTATCAAAAGTGACAGCAGAGCGCGCAATGCATTCGCAGTTGGTTGCTCCCTTCCAAGCGATCCTTTCAGCATTTTTCAATTACGCAATGGCTCTGAGCGAAATTCCCCCGAATATCTATATTTTTTTTCCGTTGATCCTCATATGAGTTTTCTTTTTTTATGCTTTTTTTTCTATGATTTTATGTATTGATTTTCTGTGGAAATATTTTTAATTGAGAAGTGGGACCACACAGAAGCGGAGATTGAGTGCGAAATGAATTTGGTAATTGGCAGGAAAGTCAGAGCGGGAGGCTAGCAAGTACAATAAGTAGGCAGATGGTTGGGGAAATAGTTCTAGCCAAAAGTATAAGTACCGAACTAGTATGGACACTATAGCTATTAAGTATTATATTTAATAGTAGTTAATAATAAATAAATGTGGAACATTGCACCCTGACTCGGGTGATAAATTGGCATATATAAATATCGAAATTGAATTTGATTGAAAATGTTAACTCAACATACTAAATATTATATTAAAGAATATACATATACAAAGAATATTCAATTTCACATTGGTAATTTAAATAAAAAGTAAGAAAAAAGAATAACTTACTGGAGCGAGTAATTTATTAATATTTTCATCTATTATATTTAATAGATTTGGTCGAAAAAAAATATAAAGAAAAAATATAAAGAAATACATGGTTTTAAATTATTATTATAATATAATTATATATAATATATATATATATACTTAAATTATTATAATAGTATGTGTATTGTGTTGAAGCTACGAATACTACCATTTCAATATTCAATATTAAAGTTAATGATTTTGTGTGTCATTTATTAGGGAACATATAATATTTTATAATGAGGCACATTATGATATGGAATATTGAAATATTGGTAATCGCCCAGCGTCAAAAAAATACACCTCCTGCTACCATTAAAATTTGTCTGCTTTTTTGTTTATTTATAATAAACCAAATGCCTGATGTAACGACTTTATACTCGTATCAGACCCAAAACTAAACACATAAAAAGTTCAAGCCGAAATAAAATATACATTAAATGGGCGAGCAGAGGGAGGAGCGGGCTAAAAACCATTTAGAAATGTTTGCATTATAATTGCGGTGATTATTTCGGGGGAACGGGGTCATTCACATGTGACATTCAAACACCAGCACCAGCATCAGAGAGAGAGAGAGTGAGAGAGATGAGTAGAGAGAGAGAGAGTTCTCTGATCCAGAGATAGCGTATAAAATAGTTAAATCAGCGGGAGCTTTCTCGGGATGGCACTCGCCGTGGTGGAGATGCGTGGAGAGTGATAAGAGGGGCCCCCAGAGCCCAAGCCGAAGTGCTGGAGTTCTTTTTTGGAGAATTGCGGTTAATTGAAGAATGCCAGAGATTTCGGCGCAGATTTCGTGCCGATTCTGGGCTAACAATAAATTTTGCCGCACTAATGCGATTTCTGTGGTGAGGCACAGGCACAGGCACAGGCACTGGGCCAGTGCCAGTGGATTACCCAACCCACTGAGGCGTGTAGCTCCCCCCCCCCTAGAACCTCGATCGTATTTGTGTATAAATGCCCAAAGCGCGTTGCCAAAAAAGTTTAGAACATTTCCGTCGCTCCACGGGTGCGCAGCTACAATTGAAATTAGTTCTCGGTCGCCAGCCATGTTGCCCGCTCTATTGGCCACGTTAATACCGCTCGTGCTAGTCGGACGCGTGTGGGCCAGCGCTGATATATTCACATTGCCGCCGAAGAGCAACCACAGCGAGGAGTTGCTGGAGGCCTATGGAAAGTTTATGCTATCGGCGATGAATCGCAGCATCGATCCGTGCGAGAACTTCTACGAGTACAGCTGCGGCGGCTGGAAGAAGTCGCCGCTGGTGCCGGAGTTGGCCCGGAACACGAGCTTCCTGCATGCCATGCAGCAGAAGATCGACGAGCAGGTGCTGGCATTCTTCCAGAATGTCACCCAAAGGGAGCTCGAGGCACTGGGCCCAAATGGCACGCGATCTTCGGAGCTGAAAGCCAAGCAATTCTTCGCCAGTTGTGTGCGGGTCAAGGCCAACATGTCCCTGGGCTATGAGCATTTGCTGGAGCAAGCGGACGATCGCTACAAGGAGCAGCAGCCGGGCCGGAATGACACTGTGGACTGGGTGTACATCAACTTTATGTCCAAGTACGAGGTGTATCCCCTGCTGCCGCTCAAAGTGCATTATAGCACGTCGAGCAGAAAGTTCGATGTGCTGCTGTCGCCACCCACAAAGGTGCTGACTGGGGTCAGCGATGAGCAGCTCAAGAATATGACGCGCGACTTTGGCTGGGATGGCCAACTGGAAAAATCCACGCAGTTTCTGGAGAGTTTCGTTAACCTGACACTGTTCGAGCGCAATCTGACGGCGCTGAGCAGAACGCGCAATGAAACGGAGAAGCTCAGCCTGAAGGAGTTCCTCGGCAAACACAAACAGGATCGGGTCAATTGGACGCGCTACTTCGATGTGGCCTTCAATGGCAGCCAGGACTCCGGCTGGCTGGTGATCAATCAACTGGACGGCATCAGCGATTTGGTGTACTTCCTGGAGCAGACGCCCACGCAGACGCTGCGCTCCTACGTGCAGCTGCGTGTCCTGCTGAAGTTCTACGCCCTGTGGCGGACCAAGGCCAAGGTGGGCGGAGTGGCGAGCGAGTGCCGCTCGCTGACGGAGACCTACTTCAACTATGCCGTGTTGCCGTGGTTCATCGAGACGGTTTTCGATAAGCAGCAGCGCGCGGATATACTCGGTGTGGCCAAGGACATCAAGGACACGTTCTACGAGCTGCTGGATCAGCACCGATGGCTGGACGACGAGACGCGCTCCCAGGCCAAGACGAAGCTCGCCTCGATGGACATTCTGGTGGGCTACACGGACGATCTGCAGCACCGCGCGGTCATCGATCAGGTGTACAGCGACATCAACATGACCGCCAGCTGGTATGAGAATCTGTGCACAATCGAGGCCAGCCGGGCCAGCATACGTCTGCGATCGGTGGACAAGGCGCTGATACCGCTGCTGATGCCCACGCGAACGGTCAACGCGTACTACGCGGACTTCCTGAATCTCGCGTTCATCACCATCGGCATGGCCCAGTGGCCCTTCTACCACCAGGACTTTCCGCCAGTACTCAAGTACGCCGGCATTGGCAACATAGTTGGCCATGAGATGGCCCATGGCTTCGATTCGTACTGCTATCAGTATAACTACGATGGCAAGCGGGTCAACTGGTGGTCGGACACTTCGTTGCGGAACTTCAAGGAGCGCTATCGCTGCCTGGAGTCGCAGTACAACAAGTTCATCCTGATGGGCGTGCAGACGAATGGCAATCTCACCTCCGGTGATAATATAGCCGACAATGTGGGCACTCGCATGGCCTACTATGCGTACAAGAGGAGAACGGCGGACAGAGCCTGGCTGGAGAAGCCACTGCGCGGCGTGGACTTCAACAACAGGCAGCTGTTCTTTGTGAAGTTCGCACAGAGCTGGTGCAATGGCAAGGACAGCGGCGAGAGGCTGGGCAAACTGAAGAGCGATGTGCATGCCTACGATGAGTTTCGGGTGCAGGGCACGCTCAGCAACATGCCAGAGTTCAGCGAGGCTTTCGGCTGTAAGTTGGGCACGGAAATGAATCCGCTCAAGAAGTGTGTCGTCTGGTGAAATAAAGAGAGTTAACAGTAGCCAAAATGTGTGTAAGAGAGCTGTGAGTCTGGGGTCTGGGAGGTGTCTTAATGGCAGGTGTGCTCATTCGGAATATGGAACATTCATTAATAATTAGATTCGATTAGGTTGCTGCAGAGATAACTATCAGAATATGGTACTTGCTTTATTCTTTTTCACTTCTAGCTTCTCATGCTGTTCAGGGCAGCAGCTGTTAGCATTACAGCTTCAGATGGCTGTTAGCATTACAGCTGCGACTTAGAGCTTTTAGCTCTCGATCTCGCTCTCACGCACAAGCTCGCTCTCGTTCGGCTTTTCGGGCGCACGATCCACGCGGCTCTCGAGCTTGTAAGCAAACGAGCGCGATTATGCTACATGCAAATACATACGAACATGTGTACAATGTACTTGTGTATATATGTAAACTCGTACAAGAAGCACCCCCGACTACGACATGATTAACGGGAAGCAATAGCTTTGATGTCTTCAAGCAAACCATCACCAACACATGCTCACATATAAATCTTATGCAAAAGCTGTCTGGATTTTATTTGCTAGATATTTCAGTTATATTCTATATGTAAATCTTTTTGCAGATTTCCTTGCCATAATAATTCGAGAGATTTGAATGCCTAGGAACTGTGATTGGAAAAGGGACCTAATTTAATTGCTGCAGTTGGGTTTATTTAAATCAAAAGATGAACTGCAGTTACGAGGGTTTTCAGTTGATCCCCAACTAGAGATCATTTATTTGGCTGTTGCATAAATCTTCATCCAACTGAAGGCTTTTGGAGCACAGTATTGGGCAGATGAAAAGATTGCCAAAACGTCTTAATTTCTGTTCTGGCAAAGTTCGAGCTGCACTCGACAATTTGCTGCAGCATCTGAAATTGATATTTCACGGCGTATAAATGGAACGCCCACCACTTGGAGCAGCAGCTGATCTTCAGCTTCAGCTGATGGCAATCGAATGGTAGATGTAGAAGTAGAAGAGAAGAGAAATACTAATTGATTTGATGCAGAACCTGACGGAGTAAACTCCCACTACCAGGCTGGCTATGGCTGGCAGCGGTCTGCGTCTGTGGGCGGGTCTCGGCAATATTTGTCTTTGACTTTGCAACGATGACACCTTTCTCATTACGAATTAATGGCATTTTGCAGCAGAACAAAAGACTGAAACAAAGGGAAAGCAAGAAGAAAGTCACTCTTCAGAAAAAAGGTGCAGAAACGTGAGGTGAGCAACGAGCGGGCCATGTTGCTGTTGCTGTTTCGGTTCTGTTTTTCCTGAAAGAATAATAGTTTGGACTATCATTAGTCGTCACTCGAGAGAGAGCGATACCGATACGGAGAAGAAAACCTGCAGCAGCAGCAGCAGCAGCAGGGAAAAAGTCAAAAGGGCAGCCAAAGACCCGTTGGCTGGCGAGGCTGCCTTCTGCATACGAAATGAACGCGTTGAGTATTTGCTTAAGGCAGGATCTCCGGGGTTTATCTTAGGCGTCCTGTCGGCCTAACGGATTTTCGTGCATTTGTTATGGATTTTCGGCGCCAGGTCTCTTATTAGCTCTGAGCAACAGGCAGGACAGGACAGGACAGGGCAGGGCAGGGCAGGTAAATGATCCTTTCAACCTCCCATCCTGCAGCAGCTATCGTCTGCTGCTGCTGCTGCGTCTCAGCGGGACTTCTGACTCCTGGCCGATAATCTTCAGGTCATAAAAACTCAGTGCCCCGCATTGCAGATAGATCATTAATTTAATAGTTTTTGTGCAACTCGCAAATGCAAAGTGCAACCTACATCACACAGCCGTAGATCGTGGAGGTGGTCTGCTGCTGCCGCTGCTGCTGCTCAGGCAAATCAAATTGCAAAATCTTCACTGGGAAATTTAAGACAATTCCGCATCGGAGCTCTATCTGATAATTGCATTGGCACTGCACTGCACTGCACTGCACTGCCAGCCAGTCAAATTAGTCTTCATTTGTAATCTTCCAGCAGAGGTGCACTCCCTGCTCTCTGCTCTCTGCACGGAGTACGCACACCTTCAACATCAACTCCCATCTCCACTGCATCTTCACTGATCGCCCCTGATCGCCCCTGATCTCCACTGATCTCCCCCTGATCACCCCCGATCTGCCGATCGCATTAATTTCGTTTATGTAAACCAAACCCGACCATCTAGGGCTTGTCGCTGGTAATGCGAAAGGCGTAGACGATGTAATAAAAAATCAACTTGCTGCAGCCAAAGCTGCGAGACAAAATACAAGCTGGAAGGAAGGAAGGAAGGGGATAAAATACAGGCTGAAAGGAAGGAAGGAAGGGGATAAAATACAGGCTGGAGGGAAGGAAGGAAGGGGATAAAATACAGGCTGGAAGGAAGGAAGGACGGGGATAAAATACAGGCTGGAGGGACGGGGATAAAATACAGGCTGGGTGGGTGATGTACGGGATTGGTGGATTGGCGGAAAATATGGCTAGTAGATGGGGTTATCTGGGGGGAAGTTGTGGGGCAGATTTGTGATTAAAGTTGAAGAATAAACAGATCCAAGATACAAATACGAAGTTCAGAATTTTGTTATAATAATGCAGAAGGATTGTACGGATATGTAAGCCATTAGATGGATTTAGAATATATTCCATTAGCCGATTCTCTCTCCTATTTAAAGGCACACATCCTGGTAACCCTCAAGCAGAGCGCACTGTACAAACAAAGCAAATACATTGCCCAAAGCATGTTTCCATAATTACATGCAGAATGGCCTTTTATGCCGCAGTCGGCTGGCTGGCTGCCTGCCTGCCTGCCTGCCTGGTGGCGACCCGACCTGCTTCCGCCGCTTAGCCAATGCCTTACCCCCGGCCCCCCAGTCGCAGCATTTACCCCCACACCCACTTCTACCGCTGCAGCATCATCGTCATCATCATGTGGCTCCACCATCGCAACAGAAATTGAACTTGAAAAGGGGCGTCATCCCAGGCCGGGCCAAGCTAAGCCAAAGCCAAAGCCAGTCCACCAAAAACAGTTGCACTTGCCGTGGATTCCAGCAGATGGGAGGCATGGCAAGGAGAGAGTACAGAGAGAGATCGGGCAAGTCGGGGTGTTCATGGTGAATTATGAAAATCGTTGCGAAATTAAGTTAAGAACTTTTTGTTTAAAGCTTAGCAGGAAGCAAAAATACTGCCAGCCCGGCAGCGCTGGCTGGGAATGGCAGCGTGATGCAGTCGTGAGTTTTTCGAAGAGAATTGAAAGATTTGAACAGCGAAATTGTAAGGAAAATAAAATTAAATGAGCATAAAAATTACATCTTGTAATTTTTAAGAAATATTTTAGATATAAAACGGGACTGGGGTAACTACCATTTAAAATGGAAAGGCATGCTAAGCTAGCTCATGATTAATAATATTAATATTTAATATTAATATATTAATATTAATTAATATTAATTAATTAATATTATTAATTAATATATTAATATTTTATTTTAAATTTCTCGCGAATTCGGCACACCCCTAAAAGCTGCTGTTAGAAAATCCATTTAATCACGCAGCCATCTCTGAAGCCCAAGCCAACCATGGAACCCTTTGCTTTATTAAATGGAGATGATCAATTTAAATATTTTTCGCAATTGTTGCTGCTGCTGCTGATGTTGCTGCTGGTGCGTGAGCGGCCTGACCCTCAGGTTTTTGGTAAGAGGCAGCAACAGCAGCAGCAGCAGCAGCAGACACAACATTTGAGCGTGGGGCAAGTGCATACTACACATCTTGATGCAACCTGCTGCTGCCAATGCTGCCGCCGCCTCCTCTCGATTTGTATAAAAAATGTGCTTCATTTTATTTGGCCGCGACCGGCGTCCGCCTTCGTTTCGGTTGAGGGTAAACGCCCCAGCAGCAGCCACAGCCACAGCCAGCCCCCAGTACCAGTCCAGTCCCAGTCCCGAACGCAATGTGGCCGTACAGCCCCGCCGAAAAATGCAGCAAACAAATCGCATATGGATCGCATGGATCGCTGGGGTCTGGTCTGGGACTGGGGCTCGAGCTTGCTGCTGGATTTGCTGCTGTGTGTATTTTTTTTTTTTGGTTTTCGCCAACGATTATCTAAATTGCATACGAAATTATTTTAATTAAAAATCTAATTTTCTTAGCCGCCTTACAAGCTACACGAGTGAAGCGACTTTCGGTCTTCGGTTGGGTTCTCCGTGCTGCTCCTCCCTCCTTCTCCGCAGATAGAACAGAGGATACTTTGTATATTGGAAACTCTGGGAATTTGTGTGTGTTGTCTTGTTTGTTCATTGAACCTTTAATTTGACGCGATTAAAACGATATTAGGCCGCGTCGCATCTGTTGCAAGTTGCAGCGAACGGATCTGAAGATTCCTGTGAGCTGCCACTGACCCCTGCCACTGCCGCTGCCCCCTACCACTGCCCCTTGCCCTGTGGGTAGGTGTGAAGATGTGATGGCGTCAGCTGTGGTGCCTCGTCTTAACATACGTGACCATTCCATTGATTAATGATGCATAATTTTAGGTGGGCTATGTACGAGTATTACACGCACAGACTGTGTGTTAATAGACGCCTTTCCGGTTTGGTTTCTTGGCTAAGGGTTGAAGTAGAATTGCCGCAGGAATTATTCGGCTAGCAATTACTTGGCCAAGCCACACGATTTATTCAAACTAAAGAAGTACAAAAAAAAACCAACAATTCAAAACTTAAAATGAGTTCCCTGCCTCATACATTTAATCATTAGCCAAACCAACGCGAATGGAACTCATCTTCAGTAGCTCGTAGGAAATTCCATTCCATTAAATGCAATTCAATCAACCACCAACCGATGCATAAAATTTAAATAAATGTTTGATTTGAATTTAATTGATGCTGGAATCCAGAACCGAGCACCGAGAACCCACAGCCACAGCCAACACAGAACCTGTCCGCTGCGAGCTTTGAACCGTGATTGAATATAAATCAAATGCATCCGACAGGCCATCACAGCAGCGCGGATCAAAGGGACGCGCTAATCA